TCAATACAAGCCAGGTGTTCCTTCAAGAGCTTCTCAGTCTTGTTGCCTCTCAATCTCCAGATCTGACCTTTGTATGTAGACCATGCCCTTTCAAGATGTTGTGTGTGTCCTCCATGATTTGGGTTCACAAAGAACCTGCTGTGATTCACAGAGTAGTGAGAGTAGCCCATCCCTGTCAAAGCCCTGTAGGGTCTCCACTCATCACTTAAAATTGAGGATCCTGGGCGAACATGTCTCCTGATGATGGGAATGAGATTATTTCTTGAACGGCGTTCTACGAGTCGCAAAATCGGTCGTCGTCTTCGAGCTTTAATGGCCAGCATGCCAAACACCCACTTTTTCCTTTTCCATGTTCCACCTACTCTCCCACGTCCATACTAGAAATACAAAAATACTGTTAATAACTGCTTTTTCTGATTGGCTGCATAAGCATTGTCCTTTAAAATAATAATAAAATAAAAAAAATCTACAGAACTTTCATCCAAACCACATTAAAATAATGACATTTTATGTTTTGCAAAAAAACATGTCAAATTCATTGTAGTAACAAGAATATATATATATTTTTAAAATTTTAAATATTAAAATAAAAATACTGTAACAAACAAATAAATAAATCAAATGCAAGAGTGCTATTTTACTGAATACAATTTTAAGTTCCAGGTTTGTTCCTCAATTTGCCTACTATTGCACATTAAAGACTGATCCTGAAATCAGAGTTCATTAAAGGAATAGTTCAGCCTAAAATTACAATACTATTATTTAGTCACAATCATTCCAGCATTTCAAATGTGTATTAATTTTTTTTTTGCTCAACACAATTTAAACTTTTTAGAATGTATTACCTCTATACTTCCATACAATGCAAATGAATGGCTGCAAACACTTAAAAAACATACAAACAGTCTTTAATAAGTATCTTCTGAAGTAATTCTAAAGTATTTGTTGAGAAAAAAATAAAATATATCTCCTTTCTCAATGTAAATCATTGTAAATGTTTTTTAAGCCTTAATCTCGATCATGATGATTTTTTTTTTCACTTGCAATGTATGACATACAGAGCTGAGATATTCTTTTGAAGATTTAACAGTTTAACAGAAGAAAGAAAGTCATTCAGATCTGGATTTTTTTATTTTTATTATAGGGTGTAATATGTATTTAAGTTTTAATTAGAGAATTACTGAATGCTTGAGATACTGTATTGAATTTAATAAAATTAATAAAAATTGTAATTTCATTCTTGACTGAGCCATTTCAATGCAATCAATTTTCAGAGGGTTTAATATTATAATGTAAAAAATAATAAAATATTAGTCTGTTATATTGTAAAGATCATAATCTACAGTAAGTCAAGGAATTTTACAGTATTTAACACTTAATGGAGATTACCATAGGAACAGTAAAATAAAATTAACAGTATTATTGTATGTAAACCTTGTACTGTATTCTATACAGCACAGTAGTCTAATGTTTTTTACAGTAATAAACTGATACAGTACACTGTAGAATTGTATGCTGGTAAATGTACCTGCCAGTAGGTTACTGTAATTTAACATGGAAATATTTTACAGTACATGTATTTTTAATTATTATTAAAATGTAATTATTTAATTAAAGTTTAATTATTACGCACATTTAAATTGAAGTTTGTTTAAAAGCTATATTTTACTTTTTTTTCAATGTTGCCATCATCTGTGAAATTTACCTTGAACTCATAAACATAAAATTATTAATAATAATACAATATATCCCACCTTCCTTTTATGGCGGAAATTGCTTTCATCTATAACAATAAACTCTGTTCTTCCACCCATTCTCTGACCAGTCTTCTTTTTAAATCTCTTTAAAGCATCTTTACAGACCAATCTGAGCTTTTGACTCATTTTACTCAGGGTTGCTGAACTTCCAGCTATGCCATCCTGCATCATGTCGACCTGCCTTAATCTTAGTCCTTGACAGTATCTGAAAAGAAAAAAGTGAATTAATTTCATTACTGTTTTTTTTTTTTTTTTTTTTTTACAGTACTTTAACTAGAACCTACACATTCACAGCTTAAACTAACACCGTCTACATCAGAGATCCGTGTCAAAAGCAAACATAACCCATAATCAGTGATGCTGCAACACTGGATGCGACTAGATGCATGGTGTAGAGTAGAGAGAGACATGATAGAAGATCAAAATATTAAATCTGTGAATTATCTGTGAATTATTTTTACAGCCTATTATTACCAGTGACGTGCGGTGATGTCTTAAAGAGGGGCACCGAGTTATGAATGCCAGATTATCTGATTTATTGTTTAGGATAATAATAGGTAATAACAGTAAACGTTACGCACAAGCGCGGCATTATCAGGAAACGTACAAATCAGGATGAATATCGTGTAGCCTACTCTCTCTTTCTCGCGCGCGCACACACATACACATACATACAGTACACGCACGCGCACACACACACACACACACACACACACACACACACACACACAAGCGCGGCACAGACACACACTGGTAGTTAATCTCCACTCCAGCATCACAATGCAACCATTCTTAATCCTTAATTGTTGTGCAGCGGCCAATTATGTTTGTCAGTCAGCAAAAGTAAAATCACACACTGCTCAATTGAATATGAAGGAAAATGGCTTGCATTAAAAATATTTTTTGACTCACCAATCGGTAGATTATTTGTCCTTGATGTAGCCTATTTGTTTTTGTAAAATCGATCTTGGAAAAAAAATCTTAACTCTATATAATAATTAAATATAATGTAATTATATAGATCAGTGTTACCTACCGGTACATGAACTTCATCCAGTTTTGTAAGGTGACCTTGCTTTTCTCAAAAATTGATCCCGCCCTGCATGTCTTTCTCACTTTCTTACTATGTGTTCGCTTTTTACATTCCCTGAAAACATCATAAACATAATTTAGATTAGAAATTCAATATCGTAAAATATTCAATAAGCATGGTAAATTGTAGTTATAATTAAAAAAAAAAAATTATAAATATTGTTACCATTGGTATCCATCTCCTGTTTGTGTCTTCTGGAATTTCATTTTTTTTTTACACAGTCTGCAATTCATCCTTGACTTCATGAGTCTATGTTTTTGTAGCCATTCAATTAATCGTCTGGTCCCTCTTCTGCTGGTTTGCTCACAAAGTGAAACAACTTTTGTTCCAAGTGCCATTATTTTGCTGTTCAAAAACCTGCAACCCAGCAAAACTACAGCAAGGGGAAATGAAATAAAAGGGGGAGGGAGACCTACAATATCCGGTTCAGTAGGCGCCTTTTTGTCCTTATTTGGAAAAGTTACGTAATACCCAGCCACTTAATATCTGAAAAACCAATGCCCTCATTGGACAATTGAGTTTTTCGTTATAGTATTTTAATAACTTAACATTTAGAAGCTTTACTTGTCTACTTTTGAAATTTCAGGGAAAGTGCATGTGATCCCAGGACGATTACAAAATTATCTAAATCCTAAAGCATATACCTAAAAGGGATTTGGATGCGGATGCATTTGCCCATTCCGGATCAGTATTTGCGAACCGGTTGAAAAGATCCGGAAAGAAACGTTTCATTTAAGAGCCATTTAGCGGACCAAACATGGCATGTACACAGCTTAAGCAAGACAGAATAAAAAACAAAAACGTTATTAAAATGTTGGAAGATGTTAAAAGAACTGGGATAAGCCCAGCCATTATTATCATTACACTTTGGAGTAATGAACTCGACGAGTCACACCAAATGATTGAATTCATTAGCCGAGATGGGCGTTGCACGCAAATAGGATTGGAGAACCGTATGACTTACAGTTCCAGCTCGGAAGAAAGCATGGCGATGGAGAAGAAAAATCCACGGAAAAGGGCTCGACCTCAACGTCTGATCGACGAGAATAACGAAGAAGCCGGTAATTGTATATTTCATTATATGTTTTCTTAAAGTTGTACAGTATATTAGTGTGTGACCTGTGCTGTGCCGAATTCTGTGGCCCACCAAAGTGACCGCAGTAATTGAACTGTATTAAGCTAACTTAATCCTAATCCTAAATTTATCACTACATTACATTGTAGCTATATGGTCACATAATTAGGTAGCACTAACGTTAGGTCACAGAATTCGGCATAACACCGGTACGATATCGCTGCAATGAACAAGCGGTTCTTAACGTGATTTGTGGCCACTTCAAAATACCGCAAATAAGTAACGTTATAGTACATCATTAGCAGAATAATTTAGTGTTTTAGAACGCACTTATCTTATTTTACGTATGCCAAGGCATGCGTAAAATAAGTAAAGTGCGTTCTAAAACACTAAATAGGCAAAAGTTAAATAAGTTAAATAAGTTAAGTGCGTTATAAAACACTTCTGATAATTTTTGAACATGACCACCATGGGTCGAATGGAATTCTAATGGGCTTTATGCACAGCTGCACTAACGTTACTACCTGAACTTCAGCCAGCTCCTTGTTTCCTGTCTGCCATTATTGGGCAAAATTAATTAATTCAGGTGTGTCTGATTATTGTTGCCGTGACTAATGAGGTCAATCACACCTGAATTAATCAATGTGTCCAATAATGGCAGACAGTAAACAGGGAGCTGGCTGAAATTCAGGAAGTAGTGAAGCTGTGCATAAAGCCAATGGGCTCTATGCACGGCGGTATTTCCGGTGAAGGATTAAGGATGCTCGATAACTTCCGCCGATCGTAGAGTCCAATGCGATACCGAGAATTTATATTGAATTTTATACTCCATGGTTATAATAAAGAAACGTTAGTCACAAAAACAGATAAAACAGACACCCCTCGTTGTGTTTGCTTCTTTTTAAAATTATATTAAATAAACATAACTATATATAAAATTACATCTAAACGTATGTACGTTTCGCTTCAAAGACGGGAGGACAGTAGATTTTGAAGACTCTGCCATAATCCCGTTTTCCTCGGTTCTCCTCCGCTTAAATCTCCACAACCGGAAATGGACGAGCATCCTTGTGTCAAATGCGGAACTTATGCGTGCATATAGCCCATTTACTCCCTGACAGCAAATGGCGCTATAGACCGGTTACCCTGGTAACCGCTACAGCACAGAGCAACTTTCTGTTTGATTATCAGTTTAATGAGTTCAATGAAAACTGTGGGAACTATTACTTATATTACATGCATTTGATTGTCAATTTCTACATTTTAAAACTTGTTTTCGCAGGGTGAAAACAATAAATGCTCTTTTTAGGGCAGTGGAACACTTAGAGCTCTGTAACTTTTTAATTACAAATTATTATGTCACAACATCAAGGCGAATTTTATTTTTTATGAAATTTTGATTTCATGACATGTTATATTTAATCTAATAATAAATCCAATCAACTTTGGCTGTTCTCTTAACATAAATAAAATGTTTGTGTTTTGTTTCAACAGAAGCATCAACACCATCAACACCACCTGCACCAACCCTGCAGGTGTCCTTAATGAAAATTAAGGAAGAGAACACATTTTTGCTCTCAAAAATCAAAGTCCTTGAGGACAAATGTACAGAATTAGAGAGCGAGAGGGATTTCCTGCGCAGCAGTCTGACAAATGGTAAAATGCTCTCGGTCTAATAAAAAGCAAGTACTGTACATTTTTTTAATATGCACTCATTTAAACATTAAAAAAAAAAAAATAACGACTGAAGAGCATACAAATTTGTTTAAAATTATGAGGACTGGAAAGGGTAGACTCATTAACTAGTTAAATGAATCATCATGGCTAACTGAGACTGGACCCTTTTTCATCTCCACAGATAACAACATCGCAAGTCTACATAGGTTTTTCATATTTTTATTTTTAAAACATTTAATACACATTTATAACTATATATTTTGTAATATTATCATGTTAGTAAATGAACAAAACAAAACAACGAATAGTTTTAATCCTGTGCGAATAGTTTTACTGAGATTTCTTATCCCATGCAAATTGGCCATTAAACTTGACCCAAGAATTAAAATTAGCAATTACTGTCCCTCATGTTGATCCAACCCCTTAAGACCTTCATTCATCTTCAGAACACAAATTACGATATTTTTGATGAAATCTGAGAGCTGTCTCACTCCTCCATAGGCTTCTATTGTAATGAAACTTGGCCCAGGCAATTAGTAAAGACAATGTTTGTAATAGTCTAAGGCCCCGTCCACACTACTACGTTTTCGTTTAAAAACGGAGACCTTTTGCTACGTTTGCACCTCCCGTCCACACTAAAACGGGAAAAACGAAGACCTAAAACGGAGAAGTTTAGAAACGCTGCAGCTGCGTTTTGCGTTTTGAATCTCCGGAGGGCGTTTTAGTGTGGACGAGACAAAACGGAGGAGTTTACAAACGATGACGCAGAAGCTCACGCTCGGCTCTATGATTGGGTGTCATCAGTCATGACGTGTCCTTCCCTGATTCGCCAAACACTGTTTACACCGGCGCGCGCATGCCCAGTGTTGGTGAATGGTCACGTGATCTGCGTTTTCAGTCGTTTTAATGTGGACGGAGATCAATTCTAATACGCAGACAAAACGCTGGTGTGGACGGAGATCGTATTCGTTTTAATTCTCCGTTTTTAAACGAAAACGCAGTAGTGTGGACGGGGCCTAAGTGACTAAAGTAGCTCAACCATAAGTTTATCAAGTGAAGAAAATACTTTTTGTGCGCAAAAATAAAAAAATAATAATGAAGAAAATGAATAGTTAAATAGTTATTATTTGTGTTGTTTTTTGTGCACAAAATGTATTCTTATCACTGATAAACTTATGGTTCAGCTACATCGTTGTGGGAATGCCTCTGCGTGGTTGCTTTGTGAAGCACATATGGAACCAATAGCGATGATGCAGCGGTTCTTCAGGGAACTAAGGTTACATGCATAACTGAGACATTTTTTTTCTGTATTTCTTGTCAGCATTGTCAACAAAGGATGAGATGCAAGGAGCTTCCTCCAAAATGCGAAATATGATTGTTAACCCTGACTCTTCTGATGAAGTAGACAACCTGAATGAAAAAAAGGGGAAAAGAAGGGCAAGAAAGGAAAAGAAAAAAAAGTCAAAGAAAGTTGACTCTTCATCCTCTTCCAGTGAATCAGTGTCTTATTCCACCTCTGATTCATCTGTTTCGTCTTCACCCCACAAATCAAGGAAACATAAGAAAAAATCAAAGAAAGCTGGAAAAAAAATGCAAAAAAGCAGAAGAGGTATGTTCTTATTGTCATAATGCCATAATAACTATGCCATCATCAAGGTTATACTTATAATGGTGTCCCAAAGTACTGGGAAAACGTTTTAAAGGACAACTCCGGCGCAAAATGAACCTTTGGTCTAATTACACATTGTTACCTAGTCAACCGTTATCCGAGATTTGTTTTGCATGATTGCCGAATGTAAATAGTTTTATCTCTGAAAACAGTTTAGCCTATAACGCTAGTATAATGCTAGTATATAGAGTATATAGAGGGCATAGAGTAATGACAAATAAAAAATCGCTTGTTATTACCACTAACAAGGCTCAAAATAGCCCCACACTAACACGGTAGCATAATAAGGGTCCCTACATTCAAACCGAAGCATTGAGAAATTTGTCAGTGTCTAAACAGTTTAATAAGAAGATATTTTATACACACAGTCAACTTCGCGAATACAGGAAGAAGCCATCTTTGAAAAATAGTCTCTACCAGTCGATCTACGAACGCCGATCCATGTGCGCCGGTGAGATGTGAATAAGGTGATAAGGTGAGCGCGAACAGTAGGCTACGTGTACATATTGAAGAGAAGAAAACGGTTTGTGTTTGTGTTTCTTCCGAAAACAATGGACCATATGATATTCTGCACAGTTCAGTGCACTTGGATCGCCGTTCGTAGATCGACTGGTAGAGACTATTTTTCAAAGATGGCTTCTTCCTGTTTTCGCGAAGTTGACTTTGTGTATAAAATATCTTCTTATTAAACTGTATGGACACTGACAAAGTTCTCAATGCTTCGGTTTGAATGTAGGGACCCTTATTATGCTGTCGTGTTAGTGTGGGGCTATTTTGAGCCTTGTTAGTGGTAATAACAAGCGATTTTTATTTGTCATTACTCCATGCCCTATATACTAGCATTATAGACCATTTCACAAGATGTAAACAACACTGGTCCAGAAGCACTTCCTGTTTCAGTTTTTTAACACTACATAAAAGCTGGGATAAAATACAACCAACAGAACATTTAAAACTGAATCAAAAAGTTAAACAAACATATTTAAGATGTTTTCTTTACATGTGAAATAAAGAAAACAGTTACAAACTGAAACAGGAAGTGTTTCTGGACCAGTGTTGTTTACATCTTGTGAAATGGTCTATACTAGTGTTATAGGCTAAACTGTTTTTAGAGATAAAACTATTTACATTCGGCAATCATGAAAACAAATCTCAGATAACGGTTGACTACGTAACAATGTGTAATTAGACCAAAGGTTCATTTTGCGCCGGAGTTGTCCTTTAAATACTAGTGTAAAATGTTGTCTGTAAGTGCATTATCAAAAACAATGTCATACATAGTCTTTACTTCTCAATTAACATCATAGAAAGTTAAATGAATATTTGGTGTAACTAGCTTTGTTCATGTAAAAATAGACTCAATAATGATTGAATCAGAACCCACTGGGGGTTGTTACATCTGTGGCAGTGCCTATGTGCTCTATGTGAATGATATTGATATTTAAATTGATATTGAAAAAAATGACAAACCTTTGTGTGACATGTAATGTGCCTTGGATTTTCCACATTATTAAGAGTTCTTTCTGCTCTCAAATAGCATTCAGTATTGTGTAATTATTTAAATATTGTGTAAATATTTAAAATACATATCTTGAATTTCAGATTTGATTTGTTAATAAGTTCAAGCACACTATTTGGAACACTGTTTTGATAACTGTATTACATTGTTTTGAATCCTATCGAGAGCCTTTCATCGTATCATATCATGAAAATGATTTATTGTTTTAAAAAAGTAAAAAAATATATATGTGTATATATATATATATATATATATATATATATATATGCATGTGTGTATGTGTGTGTGTGTGTGTGTGTGTGTGTGTGAGAGAGAGAGAAATATAGTCTTATTTGAGTTATTTATCAATCATGCACCTTTGTTCTCTCCCAGTGTTTCTACCAGAGCATGCAATCGAAAGATATAAAAAGGTCCTGCAGTACTTGCAACAAGGAATCACCAAAACGCAGGCATACCATAAGTGTGGGGTTGACCGCAAAACAATAGTGGATACTGCAGCGATAGCTGAGCTAGAGGCTTGTGACGGTGAAACCTACAAGACCTTGCGTGAAACATTCCACAGAGGCCAAAAACTGTCACAGTTTGCCGAACAATGCAAAGAAATGTGCATGAAGGAGCCACTTCAAAGTGTCATTGAGCAAAAAAAGAAAAATGGCTTGCTCATTGACCTTTGCCAAAAACAAAAGTAACTATTGTTCAAAAGTGTGTTAGAGAAACATTGGCACGGTTGAAGTTCAGGCCTTGGGAGTGCATACACATTTATTTTATTTGTTGACATTTTATTTGTTTAGTTTTAGTTTTTTTTTGTTTTTTTGTAATTTCGTGTAAAAGTATTGGAATTTAAACAATTCTTTATGGCAGTGATTACCTGCTGTTTTGTTGTGGGATTTTTTTATTTTTTATTTTTTTTTTTGAAAACATGTTTGACACTTTTTTGCAATAAATTTCAATGTTCTAACAATTTGTCATCTTGTAATGTGGAATTACAGTTCAGCACCTGGTAATCATTCATTAGCCCCTATATTTTCACTTTAGAATACTGTTCCAGGTTCTAGATAATTCCCTCAGAGTTATGTAGTAATTATGTATTAATTACCAATGGGTTCCCTATATTTTCACTTTAGAATACTGTTCCAGGTTCTAGATAATTCCCTCAGAGTTATGTAGTAATTATGTATTAATTACCAATGGGTTCCCTATATTTTCACTTTAGAATACTGTTCCAGGTTCTAGATAATTCCCTCAGAGTTATGTAGTAATTATGTATTAATTACTAATGGGTTCCATATATTTTCACTTTAGAATACTGTTCCAGGTTCTAGATAATTCCCTCAGAGTTATGTAGTAATTATGTATTAATTACCAATGGGTTCCCTATATTTTCACTTTAGAATACTGTTCCAGGTTCTAGATAATTCCCTCAGAGTTATGTAGTAATTATGTATTAATTACCAATGGGTTCCCTATATTTTCACTTTAGAATACTGTTCCAGGTTCTAGATAATTCCCTCAGAGTTATGTAGTAATTATGTATTAATTACTAATGGGTTCCATATATTTTCACTTTAGAATACTGTTCCAGGTTCTAGATAATTCCCTCAGAGTTATGTAGTAATTATGTATTAATTACCAATGGGTTCCCTATATTTTCACTTTAGAATACTGTTCCAGGTTCTAGATAATTCCCTCTGAGTTATGTAGTAATTATGTATTAATTATTATTGGGTTTCCTATATTTTCACTTTCCTTCAGTAATTTCTAAGTAATTCCTTTAGAATTATGCAGTAATTCTTTTTTTAAATGGGTTTCCTGTATTTTAACTTCTCCTCAGTCATTGCCTAATTTTAAATAATTTACCCAATACGGACACACATACTGTACTGTATATAAATTCATAATCCTATGAGGTAAGTTGACTAGTTATGGCAAGGCACTTAGAGTTGGGATGGGGTTCCATTCCTAAGTTTATTTCTTAAAGACCTCACTCACAAAGCAATAGACCATATAGGAAAAAAAAAATGTTGCTTAAATGACTATTTTTGGGAGTGCAGTAATTCCACTAAATCCATATTGCATTTCTATAGTAGTATTAATAATGATACATACATAATAATAATAATAATAATAGCATTGGTAGTAAAGAAAACGACCAACCTGATTATTGTAATGGCTAATTGTGTGACTGCATTAGTAGTTACTTAATAGTTATTTTTGTTGAACCTTAATTAGTAGATACTTAATAGTAGTTCTTCAGGAGGTATGGCTAAATTCAGTAGTTATTGATTAGTTAATTGTTACTTAACGCAATAAAAAAAATGATATTACTTACTGATTAGTTAACACATCTTCATTAGTAGTTAATAGTAGTGACTAAAGTGTTCATAAATAATTACCTATTAGTTCTTCATTAATTCCGTATTAATTATGCATTAAGTAAGATACAGTATTCTAAAGTGTTACCGTTTAATTTTGCTAATCTAATCTAACTTGTGAAGTGAAAATGACTTAAATCGACTTCAAGAAAATAGCTCTTAGAAAATATTTACCCTATCCAGGGGCGTAATTTGCGGGTGGGACGGGTGGGACATGTCCCCACCACTTTTTGCCAAGGTCGATATTGTCCCCACCACTTTTTAAAAGTTCGCGGCACGAATAGCTAACAGTAGAAATAAATAAAACATCTCCAACTGGCAGACCAGTCATTTCGTTCGTTTGTAAAATAAAAGAAGCGATCTAGCCCTGAAATACGTTGTTTTTTAAATCAAGTGATCAAAGTGCTCCTTGCCGCCTGCGATCGGTGGCGCGGTTACAGTGTATCTCGTGGCTCACGCACAGTCTTCACATGCGCGCTTCAATCCGTTTCGGAGCATGTGAGCGGAGTGGAGCGGGGAGCTCGAGCGGGCGGATCTTGGACAGAGCGCAGAGAGGGGCATTTTTTAAAGGACGGAGAGTCGCCCTATTTCCCGCTCCAATTTCGCTCCGCTCACACCACGACTCGAGTCTGACTCAACGTCTTTTCCCCGCCTAGCTCGCATTGTGTTCAGCATCCCAAGCGGGTCTGCAAGGGCAGAGAGGGTTTTCTCCGCAACAACCGCATGAGTCTGAAGCCTCAGACATTGTCCAAACTTGTGTTCTTGAAGGTGAACTTTTTCTTTCTTTCTTTCTTTCTTTCTTTCTTTCTTTCTTTCTTTCTTTCTTTCTTTCTTTCTTTCCTAAAAGTTTGACAATGTATCCCATTTAAATTGTAGCCTAATGTGCACTCTGCGCAAAAGTTCAGTTATACGAATTTTAGCCTAAAGTTCATTTAGCATACTTTTAAAACGTTTATGTAGCCTAAAGTAGGCCTATATCCTGTATATTTTTATTTATAATAAAGCCCATTGATTAGTTTAATTTTACAGCATTTTTTTGTACAATTGATAAGCATAATTTTATTAGGCTATTTCTGCGCGCTGTGCAAACGTTTAGTTATCAAAATGTTGGCCTAATAGTTAATTTACTTTGTAAATTTACTTTTAAAATGTTTAGGCCTTCATTTTTTACATTTTTGTTTATACACTTATTTTTTATCTTTATTTATATTATTAGGCCCATTTATTCGTTTAATTGTACAGCAGTTTGTGTGTACAATGGATAGGCTATAAGCCAATTTAAATTTTAATCGTGCGCGTTCCGCAAAAAATCATCAAAATTCTGGCCTAATAGCCTAGTTAATTTACTTTTATGTATATTTTTGTTTATATAATTTTTATTCATATTATTAGGTCACTTTATTCGTTTAATTTTGACTTTCTGTAGGCCTATAGCATAGGCTATTCCACTGGACATGTTGTAAAGTCGGGTCTATGTTTTATTCACGCGTCACGTGATTCATTCATTTATACACATGTCCCACCCACTTTTTATAACAAAGTTACGCCACTGACCCTATCCTGACCATAATTACTGATTAAAAATAGACATGTTAAAATAATCAGAGATACTTGAGGACTGTCTGTGATTGGTGGTTAGGACTGTTTTTAACAGGATAGACACCTTTATTCGACAGTTATGAGACAGGAAATCATGGGAGAGAGAGAGGATGTGACATGCAGCAAAGGACCGGGATTTGATCCATGGTCGGCTGCGTACATATACGCATTTAACTTCGCTATGCCATGGCCACCCCACTCTAGCTTTATGTCCCATCTTGGCCACCCCACAAAAAATGTCCTGGATACGCCACTGCATCTGCACAAGCCTAACATCCACTTTTATCTGATCAACTAAGGGGGAAAAAAGCATTGCAGTAAATCTCTCCCTCTCAAGAATTGCTCCCTCTCATAGCTAGCACAAAATAATTCATATTTACCATAACAGCAAAACGGAAAAAAAGCCACAACAAAGGAAACTCTACAACTGTGTGAATTAAGCGAACAATTGTGCTACTGTTATATGACTTACCTGTCCAACAGAAAAAAAGACGATGTTT